TTTCGCTTTGGGGCTTTGACCTTGGGCTTGTTGGGTTTAGGGTTTAAGGGTTTAGGGTTTGGGGTTTAACAGTTTCGGGTTTTGGCTTCCGGTTTTTGGAGTTTAAGGTTTAGGTTTGGACCATGGGGTTTAGGGTTTGAGTTTGGAGTATGGGGTTTAGGCCTGGGGTATGGCCTGTTTGTGGTTCAGGGTGGTCGGCGGTTTTCCAAGCTGGCAGTCTCCCTGCGTGCCTTGAGGAACGGCACAGACATAGAGACCTTTGCGTGCCTTGAAGAACGGCGTAGACATAGAGATCTTAATAACTAGTCATACCTCAGGCAGCCTAATTAGGACGGATAACCAACAGGCTCGGATAGGTGCAGGTTTTGGCGGGGTCTGGGGCCGGGTGGGTCCAAGCTAGTGGGGGAGTAAGGTTTTTAAGGATGAAACTCTGAGTATTTGAGGGTTTTGGTAAACTTATCAGGAGATATTAGCGTTTCCATGGCTTGGATTTGCGTAGTTTTATGGCAGGCTGTGAAAGTATCAATTAAAGTGTTGGAATTACAAGGTCGTTCGATCAGATTTTGGGCTCTGGGTCTGTAGCTTTTTATGTAAGAAGGTAGAAATACGGCGTTCGTGGCCGTTCGTCGTTCGGCCTCTTCAAGAGCCGTTCACCTCGCCGTGGACCTGGACTTCACAGGTGGCCCTGACGAGTTTGGCGGGGTTCTTGATAGGTTGTCTGCCTGCACTCAGGAGAGCTATGCATTCTGTACTTGTCGCATGCAGCACATGACTCCATGAGCAGTTCAAACAGCAGCATCCCAGGCTTAAGAGGATCCCGCCATTTTTCAGGCATTTCCTACAGATACATTCGCAGTCCATCACATTTCGCAGATTTCGCAGCTTCTGATTTTAGGTTTCAGGGTTCGTCATTCGGCGTTCATCATTCGCCGTTCGGGTCATTAGCCGTTCGGGGTATTCGCCGTTCGGGTCGTCATCCGTTCGGGGTCTTCGCCGTTCGGGGTTGCTGGATTTTCCCTTGGTCTTTCGAGACCGTTCCTTGCGGCACAATGGCGGGGCGTCGTGGACCTCGCAGTTCGGCATCTGCGACGGACGATCTCAACTACCAGACTCTCGAGGGGAACATCGACGAGGGGACGTTCTGGGACGGTCCTCTTCTGGTGGCCTATGGGATCGAAGAGATGTACAACACGACCGGCCGGAACAATGCCGTTCGTGTTTAGGCTCATTAATAAAATGCTTCGCATTTGCAGGAGTCTTCACATGTTTGTTTGCAGTGCCAAGCACACTCAGGTCAGAAGGGCCACTCGTGTATGCCGGCATGGTTGAAAAGGCGGTGGTATGAGGTCAACGGAACACAGGTGTCCATCGACATTCGTGGGATGTGGCCCAGCGATACCCAAGCACGGGCGGAGGGTGTCGAAGGACGGGTCGTAGTAGTAGTCGTGAGTGACTGTCGCAAACTATTGAAGTTAACAGTTTTTTCGGTGTTTCTTATCCTGCGAGGCAACCCGTTGACGACGTTCGCGGTGTTCGAGGGGCCGTACAACCAGACGGAGTTCGCACCTTGCTTCCGGGTTCTCGCGAAGATGCTTCAGGCCATGAAGGAGATCGAAGGACGTTCGGTTTTGGCCGTTTGCTGTTGCTGGATGCACTTAGTAATAAGGTTCTGCAGCCAAGTTTGTGGTGTGATCTTCGGGTGATTGCTTGTATCCGAGGTTCGCATGGACGGGTCCGGTCGGCCAGTCTCGTGGTGGGCCTCTCGGCCCTCTATGGCATCCCCCTTTGGCTGCCGTCGTTCGGCGACGTGTGAACGAGTGGCGGGCCATCGGGCATCTGCCGGAGACGGTCGTCACTCAGCTCCGTATCTATGCGAGCGATCGTGTGGCCGCTCCTCAGACACCGCCTGGACCGCCGCCGGGGGGGCCGGCCGGGCCGGCCGGTGCTGCGAATGCGGCCGCTCCTGGTCGTCCGCAATATCGCGGGACGTTCGGGGCGGCCGAGGCACAGATTGCCATGCCCGCCACGGGCAACGAGATTTTGGATGCCGTGCCTTGGCTCAATAATAATTAATTAAGCGTTCGGTCCGTTCGTGCATCCTGTTCTCACTTAGGTTCGGTACGACATCTGGAAAGTGGCACCGGCCGCTCTCCTGGAGCTGGACGAACTGCAGCTCGATGAGAAGGCCGTTCGTGTCGCTCGGCTTTTTAATAATTCGCATGGGCTGTGTCGTTCATTGTCCGAGCACAATCAATTCACAATATCCAAGGCGGTCGGGAACCTGGCCGGCCATGGGGAGGACGGTGCGAAGTTCGTCCGGGAGATTTTCCAAATCCTCCAGCGTGACTTGGTTGGCTAATGGGTTGGATTCGAACCATTCACAGATGAAAAGTTTCTAAACTAACTGAGGCGAGAACCAGGTGGACCTTCGGACCTATGCCAATCCATCGGCGGCCATAACCTCGGCCGTTCGAAAGGAGCTCGACCGCCTTCGCCCCGAGATCCCTGGTCTTCCGGGTCGCTTCGGCTTTGAGTTTCTACTTTTAACTTGACTTGTGTCGTTCGTGCTGCTTTGCAATGCACCTTGCATTTACCTGATAGCTGAGGCAGCAGCAGACAGCAGGGAAAAGGAAAAGGCCGGCAGCATTACGACGATTTCGACGTTCGCCGTCACTCCCTTGAAGTTAAACAGTCACATGACATAGGCATTGCTGTCGTCTGCGTTTCGCGATCGAGTACAGTGACTGAGGCGGGGAGCAGCCGGACTTTCGCGGCGGCTATGACGATCGCGATCGGGATGGCCCCGGCCGCCGTGACTACTACGACCGGGACTACCGGGATCGGCGTGAGGACGATCGGGACTTCCGGGATCGCCGTGACTTTCGCCGTGACGATCGTCGCGGTGCCAGTCCGGACCGTGGACCCTGGAGCGACTATCGTGGCCCTGACGATCGTGATCGCGGCCGCTTCGACGATCGTGATCGCCTTTCGGATCCAGGGCATCCAGGTCGGCCGGCTCCTCGTTGGATGTCCGATGCCGAGGTGCCTTGGCTGCAGAAGCTATTGCGATTGGCTGCGTGTATTTCAATCTGGGTGAATCTGACATGCTCAGGACCGTCGCCGCCGCCGGTACGATTACTACTAGGTCGTTCGTGGTGCCTTGGCTCTTTAAAGCGTCCTTCGAAACCGTTGTTTGTGTGTCGAGGACTGACACTGCAAAGCCTAAGGACGGCCGTTTTTGATTTTGGCAGCCAGGACACGGCCACTCGCGTCGGCCGTGAAACTGGTCATCGAAGCCGTTTTGTCCACACGGCACACCTGTAGCTTCACTCTGAGGGGAAGATGAAAAAAGGGGTCTCGTGTGCATTGCCCTTTGCTTTGCCACTCTTGTTACACTTGGCCGAGATTGAGATTTGTGCTCGTGCCAGGTCGTGGGGCGTTCGGAATGAGGAGGCCAGCAGCTTTGCCGGGTTTGGGTTTATTGTTTGGTGGTGTGGGTTGTCTCTGTTCTTTGGACTCTAACATAAGGAATGGGTGTTGGGTCTGTGCGGGGTTTGGGGTTGGTGAGTCGTTACATCTACATGCAAGCAAGATTGCTTATCGGGTTGGGTTGTAATCTGATATGTTCTTGGTCGTTCGAAGTTTGGGTGATTCTGCAATCAAAGTATTGTGGGGTGTCTTTTTGGCGTACTACTCCTTAAAGCTAAAGCCTGGAGGGAACAAGAGCAGCAGGTCCCACAGCCCCCCAAAATCAGACTTCAAACCTCGAGCCCTGAAAACAACCAATATTGGCATACTGTAGGGGTTCCTTAGGTATTGTGAACAACACATCCAGAACTCCCAAACGGTCTCTCGGCAGGTGTGGTCATCGCGGTCATCGCAATCGCGAGGTTGGGTCGCGTGGTCCTTCGACAATTAATAAAACAACCTTACAAATAGCAGTCTTACTTAGTACATTAAGCATTACTGATAACAACAATAAAAAATAATAATGGGAGCAGTCGCGGGGTTTATTAAGTAAACCACAAATCACAAAAGGACACTGGCAGGTACAATAATTATGCTAACAATTTTAGACACAGGATAGTATGATATTGATAACAACACCAATAACTAATTGGTTGAATGATTAAATATGAAACATAAGCCCAACGTCGTTCGAGTCGTTCGAGCAATAACAGAATTGTGCAAGCATACCTGGCATACCCTCCTGACACACGATTCGTAGCTCTGGCTACTCAGCCCTAAAACCCAAACGACATCCTGCAAACTGACCCCGACACCCTCTCATCCCCCTCCCGAAACTTCAAGCTGTAGTTTCGCAACCTTATCTAAGCCCGAAGTGAATCTTCCTAAGTCCGATTGCAAATGATTCTTCCATTACTAGTTTATGTCATCCTGCTGTTGTTATCAAAACCCAAACGATTCTTGCGAGGCCTCTGCAATGTAACTTGTGGCAGCATAGGGCAGGGTTCTGGTTTGCGGGGTGATGATTAGATTATGGCATTGCAGTATCGTGGACATAGACCAACAGCACGTGTAGTCGCACTGCAGCGGTAGGAGTATAGCAGTTCACAATGCATTTCAGGAACCTCGGCCTTTATCTTATCAAGGGCAGCCTGTGAGACAGCTCCTGTAGCAAGCCATCCTCCTTTGCGTCCGTGGTCGTTCGTCGTCCTTTGTTCGGAGTCATCAATGGCCCCTCGTCGTGATGCAGCCTCGAAAAAGGCCAGTGTCAAGAAGCGGCAGGCCGACAAACTAGCCGCTCGCCGGGCGGCCAAAGAAAGCAAGCTCCAGAAGAAGGCCGAGAAGACGTTCGCGAAGTCGGTGGCGACGTACGAGCAGGGGTCGTTCGAGAGAGTCCGGGCATTCGTCGATCAGCAGCTCGACGACAATCCGGCCTGGATCAGGCCACTCGCCGACCTCATGCGGGACGGGGCGATCAAGGCCATCCTCAAGATGGGGTCGCCCGACTCCGCTCAGGCGGCCGGGGCGGGCGGCAGGGCGGTCGAGAAGTGGCAGGGCAGGGCCAAGACTTGGGGCGAGTTGCCCGTCGATGCCGTCATTCGCATGCTCGGCTGCGTCGGCGTCGAAATCAATGAGCCTAAGGTGGATGATGGGACGATCGACGAGCAGACCATCCGGGCATTCTTCGAGGTGCAATTCTTCGTGGACGGCGGGGTCAACTTGCCGGCCGGCTGCCGTGCGTATGAGACCTTGGAGACAATGGCCAGGCAGCGGTTCGAGAACCTGAACCTGAAGATTGTGCAGCCGAAGCTCGAGGCCTCCGGGACGTTGGAGTGCTTCGCCTTGGCCGAGAACGGCGAGATGTGTTGCATGCACAGCGATTCCACGGCCACCTTGCCAGGTCTTTCGGGTGACGACAAGTGGGTCCTCTCGGATGCGAGCTCGCCGTCGTGCGTAGTTTACTCGGAGTCCAACCCCTCGGTCTCCTTCTCGTGCCGGTCGCTCTTCGACGAAGTTCGCGGCAGCCAAGTGGACTTTCAGCAAGAAGGACAGCTGAGGATGCACCTAGGTCTCACGGCTAGGGCTAGGTCTTACTTGGGTTTCTCGGTATGGTCTCACACGTAGCTCTTGTGTCGTTCGTGCAACACGGTTGCATAGTTTTGGCATGGGGTGCCGCTCGACAATGACAGGGGTTTCCGGCTTGAAAAGGACGGCATTGCACCCTTTGGCGAGTTGGAGTGCGTTTCAGCTGTTTTCAGGTGCGTTTCAGGTGTTTTTCAGCTTTTTCTCGAGTATTTCTTAACCTTTTAGTATGGGGCTGCCATTAAGCGGGTTTTGTGTGCAAAGTCAGGGTTTGGAAACCTTTAGGGGCTTCGAGTGCGTTTCAGCTTTTTGGAGGTGCGTTTCAGGTGCTTTTCAGCTTTTTTGTGGGGTTTTGGCCAGGTCTTCTTGGGCTGCTTCTCTTAGGGTATCAAAGTAGCTCTTTTGACTGCTCACGGCAGGCCTCGCTGAACGAAGACCCGGCGGCGTGGTCCTCGGTGCCGTGGCCACGTGCTGCCAGCTGCTTTGTTCTGCCAGTGCCAGAGACTTTCTTCTAGAGTTTAGCAGGGCAGCTGTGAGTCGCCGTCGTCCTTCGGCACGTGAGGTTTTGAAAAGGCCCCAAGCAGGAGGAAGCAGAATGCAGCACAAAGTTCAAAGCAGAGTGACAAGCAACAGCACACGGTAGTCAGCATTCGTTTAAGTCCTTTTGAGACTTGGGGCTTTCCGAGCGAACATGGCAGACGCCGTTCCAGAACGAACGGTGCGTGCCGTCGTTCTGCCGTGCGGAGCAAAGGGCACCTTCAAAGGAGAAGTGTACGAACACACCGTTCGGGTCCAAGCGGACGACGGTCGTTCGACACCGGGCTTCTTCTTTTGGATCTTTCGCTGGATGGTGGACTTTCTCGGAGGGACACCTAACCACAACATTTCTGGAAGGAGTCGGGATGGCATCGTCGGTCGGGCGGCGGCCGTGTTGGCGGACGGTTTGTCGTCGTCCGAGCCCGAGCAGGACGAGCAGCAGGAGAAGGACGAGCAGGAGGACTCGCAGGAGGCAGTTATGCCGTCTGCGGGGGATCACGTCAGCAAGAGCAGTACGATGACGAAGCACGAGCGGATCCACAAGAGAAAGGCCAAGAGCAAGCCGGTCAAAGAGGAGCCGGCCGAGCCGGGCGTGGTGAAAGAGGAGCCGGACGGGGAGGGCGATATGCCAGAGGAGGATGATGAGGAGGACGACGACGAGCTAGTGCGAAAGGGCGACTTCTGCCTTTCGTCCTTCGCTTGCATATGCTGGTTGGCTCAGCTGATGGCCAAAGGCCCCAGAGCCAATTCCAAATGGAATTTGGACCCCGCCGAAGTTCGTTCCCGTGCCGAGGCACTGCTGGAAGGAGTGCGGGATTGGTTTTGGCAGGACGTTCGAGGTCGTTCGTTTGAGGTTCTGCAAGGCCAGCTGGCCGTCGACAAACTCGCGACGGCGTTCGGTCAGGTCGCCGGGAAAATTTTTGGGAAAAAAAAAGTTGTGCCAGTCGTTGAGGCCTTGCGGGTTTTGCAGGCCGACAGCGTGCGACGTTCGCTGAGCCAGGACCGTCGACGGCTGGCCGAAAAGATCTTCAGCCGTTTGGTGGCGAGACTTGCCGAGGCCATCGATGCGTCGAAAGGAAAGACTGTCTGGATGGCCAACCGTGTTGAGTCGCTCGAGCAGTTGAGGACTGAGGGCCCTGAATCTGAACTTTAAAGCGTGCCATAATTTTTCGCTAGGCCCAAGGTTTAAGTGCGAAACCTTTATAAAGTAACCCTAAACACCTTTTCTTTAAGCCTACACTTGCAGGACAGCTCGCGGCTACCGGAAGGTCTCGCACGGCTGTCAAGAGGCCGTTCTGCAGGCAGGGGCGGCAGCCGGGCCGTCCATTGCAGCTGCTTTACAGTCTCAGAAACACTTGACGTCGTCCGTCGAGGAGAAGACCACCCGGAACCGGGACAAACCAGGCAAGTTTTTGGAGTCAGAGCGACTCTCGTACTGCAGCATCGGACAGTCGACGTTCTCGTCGACTACCGTCCTCAGCGTGGTCGCGGATGCCGTTCACGTCGGCGACGACGACTGGTTGAACGTCTTCGTGTGCGATCCTGGCTGCGACGTGTCGTTCTTTTGCCCGCCACAGGCTGGTTTGTTTTGGGTGGTTTCAACTTCAGTAGGCAGCTTGAGAGTATTTTATGGTTTTGAAACATTATTTAAGAGGTGGATAAGGAGGTTTCTGCTGAGCGACACCGGCCCCCCCAGAGCCCCAAATCGGCCCCAAATCGGCATCGATTTTGGTCCCAAAAAAAACCCTACACCTATCCTAGCTTTCGGCCGGTCTGCGGTTATCCGTCCTTTGGGTTTTCATACACCAAACACGCCTTCCAAAAACCATACACCTATCCTAGCTTATTTCGCTCGCCGGGGGACCCGGGATAACCCAAAAGATCCCTCGGCTGCCTTCTATCTGTATGACAGCCTACTCCAGGCAAAACCATACACCAAAGCGTCCTTTCGAAAACCATAAGGCTATCCTAGCTTTCGGCTTCGCCGCCAAAACCATACGGCTATCCTAGCGTTGTTTTTCGGGCGCAAAATGGCGCATTTTTGGACCATTTTGGGACCACTTTTGGGACACCCCGAACGGCCTTCCAGGGGCTCCAAAATAGCGAACTCCAGGCAGCCGAGTTAAGCGTAGTTTTAGGTTTGCTTTGCGTGATACTAATTTTGGGGGAGAAGAATCGCAGCCTCCTCGGCGATGGTTTTTGTTTTGCTTAGGAAGGCTTGTTTGTTTTGAGATAGTGTGCTTCTGTGTTTGTGTTTGAAGGTTTAGGGTTTAGAGCAGTTTTCTTCGCTAAGGGTGGTTCGTCTGTCAGTGCTGAGCTAATCGGGTTTAGGGTGTATAATAATAGGGTTTTAGGTGTATCATAGGGTTTAGGTGCTCAAAGCTACATCGGATAAGTCACCCTGTGACAGGTGAAGAAGGGAACCTGCCTCACGGCCGAGAACTTCGTGGACATGTGGCAGGGCCGCATCACGAAATTTTCCAAAAGGCCGGCACCAAAGGTCGTTCGGCAGGCAAGAGCACGGGCGGAGTTCGGGAACCGGAGCGACAGGCCACTCAGGAGTGGCTGCGGGACGTTTCGCACAGCCTCTCGGCCGTCGGCTGGAGTTGGTCCTCGTGTGGCCCCTCGGCCGACAGTGCCAAGAGGCCCAACGTGATCGTGCTCTGCACCGATCAGGAAGCGACACAGTTGGCGGCCGTGTACTATCTCAAGTTTGGTCGCTCGCTGTTCGTGGAGTTCGTCAACGACCCCGCCCACAGGAGCCATAACGACGTTCATCTCGCTTTGGCGTCGGCGGGACTGTTGACATTCGCCCTCGTCTCGCTCGGCCTCTACAACGTTCGGTACGGGCCGTGGAACAAAGGAACCTGGTTCGGCAAGGTCCAGAGCATGGCCGACGAAATGAGCAGTTCCATGTCGCCCTCCGACCCGCTCCTTTTGACGTTCTTCCCGGACATCCTGCCCGATGAGGGTCGTTCGCAGGAGGAGAACACGGAGGAGAATCGGCGGCTTTTTTTGGAGGGCCTGCCGAACAGGTCGTTCGTTCGGTCCAAGGGAAGCAAGGCCTCGCACTCTCGCTTCAACAGCTTGGCCAGCGCCCATTCGGAATTGGACAGGGGCTGGTCGTCGTTCTGTTTAGTTTTGGCCGCTTTGTGCATCGCCGAAGGCTGGACGACGAGTGCCTCGGCACTCTGGGCTCCCGGAGCCGGCAAGGTGCAGGAGGCCAGCAGTGGAAGCAGGTCAGCGGCGAAGGCGGCCGCTCGCAAAACGATGCAGCAACAGCGAAGCGGTTCGGTCAACACTCTACACGGCATGACGTCCTTCGCATGCAGCCCTGACAACCGATCGCTGGCGAGAACGATTTTTTTCGTGCTGCAACTTGAAGGCATTCGCTGCAGCAAGATGCTCGAGGAGCTCAGGTCTTTCGATGCAACCGTGTCCACGTATGCCGCTTGGGCCCACTGGGGCTACGTGGAGACCGCTCGAGAGCACTTGGTTCGTCTCTCGGACCTGGCTGCCTTGCAGCGACTGGGCTTGAACATGGCCATGGACCATGACGACGATTGCGACGAAGCCGCCCTCGTCTACCAGGACACTCTGGCTCGACGGGTCGTGAAGCTCACCGCTTCCGGTGCGGCTCACAGCTGCCGAGCACGAATGGTTGGGGTGCTACCGCTGGGCTCCTCCACGACAGCACGGCCTCTCGCCAGGCCAGTCTCCAGTTTTTGAAGGCGGTGGACGTGACTGTGAAGGCCGTACAGGAGACCGGGTCTCTCAACCCCAAGACAATGCTCGAGGGCCATCCGGCCACAGGGCCTGTCATGGGCATGGTGTTGGCCGAGCTGCGTGCGGCGTCCTTCGTCGAGGTCGCGCCTGGGACGTTCGACTTTCTGCGGCGTTGCTGGGGCGGCCTCTTGAATTCGAAGTTGGTCGAAGATGCCAACAAAGTGCAGCGTGAGGCAGAACAGAGAAACGGGACTGCCAAGACTCTCGGCCGCCTGGAAGGGTGGCATGGCCTCTCGAGGAAGAGGCTCAAGCCCAACGGCACCCTGGTCACCCTTCCCACATCGTTCGATGCCGATGCCTGGTTCGTTCGCAAAAGAGGCGAGCAGCCCGCCGTGGCGGAGGAGACTGCAGAGGAGGCCATTTGCAAAGGGGTCAGCCAGGCTCGCACTTGGGCGTCCCACACTCCCGACTCTGAGCAGGACAAGCTCGCTGGCTTCTCGTTGTTGGCGAAGGTGGTTCGGGAGTCGAAGGACTGGTCCTTCGTCGAGAAAGGGTGGTGGTCTTCTCTGGTCCCAGAGGGGCACGGCCTCGCCTTCCCGGGCTCAGACAGCGTCTGCTTCGTCGTCCGGACGTACAAGCGAGCGGCCTTGGTGTGGCCGGCCACTTTGGACAAGGGTCCTTCGGGCGTTGAGAGACTCGTGCTCGACACAACTGCGGCCTCTCTGTGCTGGGTGCACGTGTTCGACGAGAACGTCGAGGTTCTCGATCTCGTGGCCACGTCGCCACAGCGTGTCCTGGCCGCGTCTTTTTAGGGGTTTCGATAGCTAATTTATATCTACCCGAAAAATGTTTGTTCCTAAGGGTCCTGGTCTAAGAATGTTTGTTCATAAGGGCGGTCACAGGTGCAGGAGTATCAGCGGGTGGGCCTTGGTGACTTAGTGCGTTTCAGCTTTTTTGAGGCGCGTTTCAGGTGCTTTTCAGCTTTTTTCCAAGGTTTTTGCTGTTGTTTACTCTAATCCCAAGCACAAAGGTGCCCAAAAGACATTCTGCTGTCTCTGAGTGAAGGTCACAAGCTTTACTGGCTCTACTGAAACACCGAACTGTAACGTTGAACAGGCGGAACCCTAAGTTTGAACTCGGGAATCTCCTGCTCTGGCCGAGGCTTGCGGTCTCTCGGCGAGACCAGGCCTCTGGGAGTGGCCTTTCGTGTGCAGGCCCGGCAGTCGTTGCTCCGCCACCACGAGCTGCACGGGTTCGCGGGAGTGCCAGAGTGGTCTCTGCGGAAGCTTGCCCAGGCCAAAAAGTGGCCGGTCTCGGTCCAGGAGGCAGGACACGACGAAGACGACCGCCTAGCGATAGTTTGTTTGCTGTCGCTCGACCCTTCGTTGGTCAAGGAAGAAGTGGTCGGCCGCTTGCTGAGCCGCCAAGAGGCCGCTCCCTGGTCGATCGACACGGGCATCGACTTGGAGGAGCTCGTGCGGGACACCATGCTGGCCGCAGATCAGGAGCAGGCGCTCAAGCATCTGGCGAACAGAAAGGCCGGTCAGGCGTCGGCCAAGGACGTGCGGAAGAGGGCCTCTCACACCTACGAGCACGTGGCCAAAACGTTTGCTTGTCGGCCGGAGTACAAGAAGTTCCAGGCCCAGCGAAAGGAGAAGGAGAAGAAGGCCGTTCAGGAGCAGAAAGCACGGGCGGCCGAGGCGAAGAGGGTCTACGACGACGTGAACGTGGACGTCGACCGGGTCCTCAAGGCTGCCGTGCCACCGGGCGTTCGTGTGTACACCGACGACCGGAACGGCCGATGGAGCCTCACGTACAGCACGGCCTGGGCCTTCGCCACCAGAAGCATTTCCTGGACTCAGGTCGGCAGCAAGCCGGCCGGGCGGGCTGCGGGAGACGTTCGCGGGCCTCGCCATGTCGGACGAGGCCGCAACGATCCTGAAGAAGTTGTCGGCCTGAGTGCTCCTGGTCGTTCCTGGAAGCTTTCACGGTGGACGTCCCTTCTTTTGCTGGAAGTTCGGAAGCAGTCACTCGAACGAGCTCCGTGCTTCGAAAAGGTTGCAGCTGCAGACCACCAGTTTCAGTGCATAAGCAGCTTTCGTTAGAGCACTGTGCTTTCGAACTCAATAGCAGAACCTGTCGCCTTGCTTCGCCCAGGTCAACAGCAGGCCGTCTTCAAGCTCGTCCTCCAGCGTCGGCGTGAAGCAGGCTCCTATACGGCATGATTGGTCTGCAGTGCAGTGCCGGTGATGCGTAGTCTTCCTGCTGTTGGGCTGTGCACTTGAGAAGACTCCACTCTGTGGCTTAGAGCGATGCACAAGCTAGCGATCCCTTTGTAGGTAGTCTGGTTTCCTCGTGCGACTAGAGGAGATGAAGCAGTCAGGTCGTGCTGGTGGTACTAGCAGTGGTGCAGTAGTCGCAGGAGTCTTGCTAGTGCTACTACTATCTGTAGAGGTCCAAGTCCCAGTCATCTTGATTTTACTACTAGTCCTGGAGTCCTCCTCGCACCCGAAGTTCTCGCAGTAGACGTCACAGTAATAGTCCTTGTCCTGCTGTCGCGTTCCTCCTCGGTCGTTCGTCCTTCGTGCTTAGTCGTTCGTCGCCGTCGCAGTCGCCATGCCCCGGCCATCCTTGACGGAGACGGGAGGCGTTCGGAGAGCCAGTGCCTGGAGTCTCTTCAACTCCTGGGTCTCTCGCGAAGGTCTGTCAGAAAAACAGGCGGCCCGGTTTCGCATCCGTGGCAAGCGGATGCTGCGGACGGCATCCGCCATGAAGGTCAAGTGGCTGCTCGGACCTGTATTTTTAGCTTTGAGGAAAGTAGAAGACATGGCTTCCCTAATTTAAGTTATAAGTCTTTTGGGAATTTATTCTCCCTTGACCCGAACAGCAAAGCCTTCAGACGTGACCCCGAAGGCCTTACTCACTAAAGGGTTGTCATACTGTAATAGTGAATACTGTGAAGTCGTGGCCCTAAACGTCAACCCATCCTTGAATACCCTTTCTAAGCCTGGAGGTGCGTTTCAGCTTTTTTGAGGTGCGTTTCAGGTGCTTTTCAGCTTTGTTCCAAGGTTTTTCTTTTTTTTTCCCCTTTCACGTCCGGTTTTGTGAATAATTCACATTTTCATGTCAGCGGAACCCCGAATGCCAGCAATACTAGAGCATTCCAATCACTGTAACTACCTTGAAGTCGCAGCCCTAAACCTGGAACCCATCCCTGATTACGGGGCTTGTAGGCTTGTAGGTGCGTTTTTGAGGTGCTTTGCTTTAGGTTTTTAGAGTTTTGTTTCAGGGCCTGCAAAACAGAAGCTGTGCTGCACTGAGGAACCACAAGAAGAGCAAGGACATTCGCGAGCAGTTCGGGGCGATGGCAAAGGCGGCCTACGAGGACAACCGCCAAAGGGCAGAGGCTTTCAAGACTGCCCGGAGCAAAGACTCTGTCTCGTTCGACGAACAGCAGGTGGATCGTGCCCAAGACGAGGATGCGGAGGCCATAGCCGTTCGAGTGCAGGAGGACATCGAGGCCGATTGTGCTAGGAGGGACGTTCTCGAGGACTCCTGGACCTGGACGTTGGGCGTGTGGTCGACGGACAGGTCTTTCGGGCCACGTTCCAAGAACAGTCGTTGGCCTTGAAGCTGGCCAAGGGTCGCGGGCTGCAGGACCCGATGCAGCGGGCGGCCGCAGGTGGCCTCGACGTCGCGGAGGAGTTCGCCGTTCTCGGGGCGCTTGGCCAGCACCCGAACGTCGTTCGAGCCTTCGCCGTTCTCAGCAGTTCGCTCGGAAGGCCAGCTCTGGTCCTCGAGTGGGCAACGGAGAGCCTGCAGCAAATGGCTCGCAGGCTGAAGGACGACCGCCTGGAGACCTCGCCGGCCGGGCGACGGTCGCTGCTCAACCTCTTTCAGCAGTTCGTTGTCGGCCTCTCCTACGTGCACAGCCGCTCGTTCCTGCATTTGGACGTCAAGCCCACGAGCATCCTGGTCTTCGATGGCGTTCGTGCAGCAGTTGCAGATTTCGGCCACTCGGAGCACGTTTCGGACACTGGCTGCACGGTGATCGGCAATCGGGTCTACACCGAGGCCTTTCGCTGTGCGGAGTGCCTCATGGCGGTCGATCGGAAGGCCGGATTTCTAAAACCTATAAGCTTAACCAAATAGGACCCTTTAACCCGTAGTAGCGGTAGCAAGTGTGCAGGAGTTTTGGTCTCAAGTGTGACTTTTGTTTGGTGAGTTTGTAAATGTACAGCAAGCAATAACCTTGGCCTCTGTCGTTCTAATTCTGCACCGCCCTAGCAGCCCCAGCCTCGAAGACTCTACCCTGCCAGGTACATGTGACGTTCGCCGGCGACGTTTGGGCGGCCGCTGTCTCGTTGTTCGAGATCTGTTGCCCAAAAAAGGCCTCGCTGTGGACAATCCCACCTGCGACACCGAGGAGCAGACGGCCAAGGCCATTCGGGAGATGGCCCTCGCTAAGAGCTCCAAGGTCATGCCGTACGATGAGGTCGTTTTGGAGGTCCTGAAGCAGACCTTCGTGCCGGCCAATCGACGGCTAGCTTTGCCAGGCCTGCTGAAGATCATCCAAAAAGCCGTTCGGTCAGCACGACCCCCGTGCCGTCTCGACTGAGACTGGCAGTTTTCAGCGAAGGCTCTCTTTAGGTTTGCCGCCAGGACCGGGGCCGGCCTTGCATCTCGCCCAGACCACGTCGTTCAGAGAAGCAGAAAAATTTGCAGCTCTTGCTCTCATGATGCAGTTGTTGGTTTTGTGTTGTAGGCCTGTACAGGACACCCAGCACATGTCTGCTACCTTCTCTCTTGCCCCCCCGCAACCCTGCCCGTTTTCGGCCGCAGCCTGTGCCAGGTGCTGGATCTTGCGGGCGATCGGCTACAGCGAGAAACGGCTTGGCATTGCTTCGGCCGTTCGCGGAGATCGGGTTTGCCCTAACAGTCAAACCTAAATAACACGAACAACTCTAAACCCTGAAACCCCGACCCTACACTAGGCGTCATAAGTTCAAAAGCCTCAAGGAACCACCCGTTTTTCCCGAAACCTTCCCCCTAAACCCTCCTAAGGCCTAGAACCTTATTTGCTCATTAAATTCAATCTCAGACCACATCATTCAAAATAAACATATAGCAACCAGTTTTCTCGTGAAGTTTTGGTCTTCGCTCCGTTAATTCAAAAGACTAAACAGCTCCGAAACCACACTGGCGAGCAACATATTTTCCTATAAACTTGAGCACAAAAGCGTGAAGGTAAGCTTTGCCGATTGGTCGGTTGTTTTGGATTAATGCCTGCCTTTTTTGAAGCATCCTAGATTTGGCTTGGATTGTCCAAACAGTTCGCATAATACTGCAAAAATCATACACCAGAGTATACAACAATACACTGGCGAAAAAGAGCTTGTGTGCTAATCTTCGCCAAGCCTAGATTCAGTCGTTTTTGGGAAGCGTGTGATATGAGCAAGAAATTTTCAGCAAGACTCATGGTTTACCGACTAGCTTTTCATCGCGATGGTAGTCCGGCCGGCCAAGGCCAAAACCAGTCACCTATCCTAGCCAACTTTTGTCGGTCCTAATTAGGCCGCCCAAATACCATCAACTGATCGTCCCTATTGTATAAGTATAGTATAGTATACAAAAAACCCTTTATTCAGACCGCTTTGGTGTATTGGTAACGGCTAGGGCCTAACAAAGCCTTAATAGGTTTATGGCTACTGTGGCTCCACACTTTTGGGGTTTATGGCTTCCGGGTTTAAGGGTTTAGGGTTTAGGGCTCGAGGTTTACGGATTTAGGTTTGTGTTGTTTTCGGTTCAAGCTTCTGGAATTTTTAGGGTTCTGGGCTGGAAGGTCGAGGATAAGCGTCCTCAGTTCTGCCTTTTCTTGTGGATTTAGGGTTTAGGGGTGGCAGCTTGGGTTACACATCCAGGCTTCATCAGGCCAGTAAGGGCTTGCAGCAAACAAGTCCTTGGTACACTGCATCTCCTTAAACCATAAGCCCTACAGCCTCAACAAGAAGCCTTCCGTCCTAAAGTCTTTACAAAACCCTGAATTATCGTTGCTGCTCCATCATCGCAGGTATTGAGGGTCTAGGGTTTAGGATTTACCCCAAACCCTAAGCCCTAAATCTAGGGGCATGGGGGTGTAGGCTTTAGGGTCCCGCTAGACAGGTAGATGTGGGCTTTCAGATCAGGCCCGCCTTAAAGGTTGCTTTTAAGGGGTTCGCCCTAATTTAGGTTTTAAAAGCCCAGGAGTTCCCTTTGAGGGGTTCCTCGTAGGGTTAGTTTTATACTTGCTTCGGGAATTTATAGGGTTAAGGGTTCGCAGGGCGGCCTGCGCCGTTTTGACAAAAGGGCCTTCATAGCCGAGGGATTTTTTTTAATTTGAGTTGTTCTCTAAGATCGGGCCTTTAGAGCGTTCAGGGTTCGTTGCTGTTGTATCCGTTTGTTCCGTGCGATGCTGCTTCGCGACCCTAAACCCTACTTGGAGAGTCGGGGGACTTAGTAAGTAGGTACTGAGTAGAGTTATAAGTACCCTAAAAGGGATCCTAATCGGGGTTATGGTACTTATAAGTCGTTAAAATAACTAGTTACTAAGTCTCCCGACCCTCCAAGTAAACCCCCAGGACCCTTAGTGCCCTCAGCCTCTGCACTATTGTACAAGACCCAGCAATTTCCGCCGACCCAACCCCGAAACAAGCGTGCAGTCTGCTTGTGTACCGTAGCTTAAAGTGGTGTTGGGACTTTTGTGAGGGGATGGTCGGACTCAATGAGTGCACCCACAATTTGTGTTGGGACTTAGTGTTTAGGTGCAGGCTCGTCACTGCCAGACTCGGAAAGATTGTCTTTCTGTTTGTTGTCATGATAGAAGACTTAGATCCCCAATGCCCAACCTTTTAATTGTTTGAGTTCTTATAGTTTTGTAGGAATCGGAAAGCTCAACCTTTTTATTTGTTGTGGCTTATTGGGGAAGTAAGAAGAGCTTCTACACATCTTTGCACTTGCACAGGTACTGATGATGAGGTTGGAGGGCATGTTGGCAGCTGGGCTCATGAGTATTGTGTTGCTTTGCTCTTTCATTGTCCTGGCTCTCTACCAGAACTGACCTGATTAGCCAGTTTCCAGAGACACTAGACCTTAATGAGGACCCTAAACCCAACAGCCCGAAGCATCCCAAGGAGCTAAAGGGCGTGTCCTCATAGCTGCCAAGCCCCGGAGCCTATAACCACGCTTTTCTGTTGGCCAACACAAAAACCTGAAAACTCAACCTGAAAACTTCAAGCCCCGCCACCCAAACCCCATGCCGTAAGGTTTGAAGCTCAAGCTTTAAACCCTAAGCTGCTTCCCTCAGCCTCTATGCCTTAAGATGAGGGCAGTAGCAATTCGCGCGATGCCGACGGTCGGCGAGGAGCGTAAGATTAGTATAGGGCTTCGTGGCAAGTCGGTTACAGCTAGCTTGCTGGCTGGATGGATGGATGCATGATTAGATGGAGGGGTAGACAGATTGGCAGGTAGATGGACAGCAAGATAGGTAGACAGTCAGGTAGATGATAATTGGACAGGTAGATAGATAGATAGGTAGACATGGAGATAGGCACTGTAAGGCACCGATACATTCAGAGAGTACATTTAACAACAAAATTTCCTGAACATCAGACCTGCGATCCCGCGGATCCAGGTCCAGCCGGACCCATCAATCCAACATCGATCCAGGACAGGGTCTAGGGCTTTAGGGGTTCAGTGTTTAGGGTTTCGTTCTGACGGTTTGACGGTTGCGGGGGCATTGCCAATTTTTGTGCAAGTTCAGAGTTTTGTAGGGGCTGAAAGAGGGTCATGCATGGTTCTTGTTGAAGAAGTTAAGCTGGGCTTTGGAGTGCCATGCTTTAGTACTTTTGGGGGACCTGTTACTTAAAGGGAACCAACTACGTATGAAATAAAAGTCTATATGTTTTTTCTGCCTGGTTACTTCAAAGCCCAGTAAGGGTCTTTAGGGTTCTAGAAGCGGCCTATTTACCCAGACCGCCGGGAGAATCCAAAGTAGATCCCTTAAGGGGGGTTCCTATAAAGTACCCTTACTAGTATAGGGCCCCTAATGAGGGGATCTACTTTCTAGATCCTCCCGGGGGTCTGGGTATGCATGTAAGAAGGGTTCTATAGGAGGGCTCTTCTTCGGCAAGTTCGCCGTTGCAAGGCCAGGCCAGGTCAGGATTCAGGGCTATGGGGCCAGCGAGGGTTGAGAGGAGCGATCGATTTCTGGACATGCTGCTTGTTGAATCACAGTTTAGGTGTGTTTTTGTGTTATAAAGCTGCGGCAGCAGCGGTTGTAGCAACACAGGCGATGGCCACTCCTTGGAATCGTCCCAAGTGCGAGCCCAGATTTTTCAAGAAATGTCAAAACCCCATTCAGAATTAAGTTGGAGTTCAATAGTACTGGAAAGAGAGTATTATTCATTGATTTCCCTGAACGCTCCGACGACTAATTCTGGATGAATGGCAGTCGAACAGGGAGTTTAGGCATGCATTTGCAGGCTTTGGCACCTCGGAGATCCAAGTGCTCCGTGAGTTGAAGACAACCCCAAAATCCCTAAACCCCTAAACCCCTAAAACCTAAACCCTTAAACCCTAAACCCCTAAACCCCTAAACCCTAGGCCCTAAACCCTTCCCACAATCCGGTACTGTGGTCTGAGTTTGTCGACGTGCTCAGTAGTATCCTGCAGCGATTTCTGACATTGGCCCATCCTGCAAGCTTGCCAGAATTGCCGCCAGCTTTTTGGCTTGGAGCCTGGTGTGACATGTAAATTTAAGCTTGAGGTGCAGGATCCGGACTCCTCAACGGCCTTAAACCCTCGAATAGGCTAGATCGGAGCCTTGGTAGTATAGCCAGAGCACGACGTTAACACAGAGCTCGTCGTGCATGTGGTGAAGTGCGTTGAAGTTCAAAAATGTTCTGGGTCCACAGACTTTATGGCTTGGGGTTGCAAGTCTGGGCTTGCTATCTAAAGCTCTTCCTATCGCAGTACTCAGTTTCCGTCGCGATGGCTCTGGTCTGGGCGCTGCAAGCTGCAGGAAGCAGGAGCAGGCAACCCACTGCAGGCATAGTATAGGGGACGAAATAATTACCAAGACTGCTCTAGGGGTTTCGTATAGTCTATATAGTTAGAGTATAAATGGGCCCCAAAACCCTATTCCTTCTTATCAAGGCCCCTAGATTAGGTGTCAAGCTTCCAAAGAGAGCGGGGCCTGCTCGCACGACTCGGGACACAGTAAGGAGGTTTTTTCAGCTTGAACTCGAGGCCTCCCTTGCAGGACATCATCTGCAATTGTAGAGCCTCTTTCAGCGCACACGTCTTGTGAGTGGGAACTCGAACGCTGACTCTACTTGGAACTCTTCTCTCCCTCTCTCTCGCTCCCTCTCTCGCTCTCTCAGACTCTCTCTCAAACTTGTGCGCAGTCCTCGGTCCGCGGTACCCCTCCAAGCCTTCTTCTGCTTGTACAGGCTTCTCTCCTCCTCTCCTCTCACAAAGACCTCTACAAGCATACCTATAAAGCCTGCGTGGTTACACCTCAAAATTCCCCTCAGGGTCCATGTACCCATATAGTATATACCTGGGCCCTAAAGTGCCTAAATAGGGACTACATTAAGGCCAATGTATGTGATTAGGAGTACATGGACCCTTAGGGTTCCATACTGTTGATGGACAAAATCCTGCATTACCCATTATAAGGAATATACCATAGTTCCCATAGTTTGGAGTCCTTAGGGTCATGCCGGATTTCGTCCATCAGCAGTATCAAACCCTATTACACTCTTGTTCCCGGAGTTCCCGAGGAGGAGACCTGCGACAAAGATTGGCCGCCTGCTTTCGCACAGGTTTTGTGGGCTAGCCCTAGGCTGTAGCCGAAAAGACCTACCTTTATAAGGAACTACATATAGAAACCATAATAAGGAATCGTAAAAAGGTAGGTCTTTTCGGCTACAGGTAGGCCCCAGGTGCGAAACGGTTTAGGGTTCAGGGTTTAGATCCTACACTGACAGGTTTGAGGTTTAGGGTTTAGATCCTTCCTGTCAGTTTTCCAGACTTGAGATTCAGTTCTCGGGGTCTGCGGCGGAGATCGGGGGTGGGGGAGGGGGGATTTACGGAGATACACTGGGGGGTTTGGGTTTAAGCCGCTTAAGTTTAGGATGTAGATGGATGTACTGTTGGGCTTGTGGAGTTTGGTAGGGAGCTGGTTGGAGTTGCGATCGATAATTAGGCCTTCGCGGAGGGCGACCGGGGGCCAAGGAGAGACTCCCCAAGCTTCATGACTTTTTTGGGGCTGCTCTGCAACAGCATGCATGCAAACACACCCACCCACATACATAGGCACAACGTTGCGGTCTTACTTGCTGCTTGCAAGAGGTTGCATGATATGCCGACATCAGTCCAGTGACACATAAGCCAGGTGTTTTCTGAACAAGCGCGAATGAATCAGAAACGAGAGCGTATTCGTGTGTGTATGTGTGTGTGTGTATATATATATATATATATATGGTCACCCCCCCCCCATGACAGACCATCCCCTTTAAAACATCGCTCCCACCGGCGTGTTCGTGCTTTTTCCGGAGTATCGAGTTTGAGCCCTCCGAACGTATCCCTGGAACCACCAAAAGACTGAGACCAGAAAGCAGCACGATAAGGCGCGCGGGTGTCCTACCAAGAAAGGAATTACAGAGCACACGTGTATGGATGAGGGTTGTGCTGACACACTACATAGTAAGCACTACACAGCAATCTTACTTGAGTCATATATAGAGCAGATTCCAGCATTTCCAAAATTTCCAAAATTTCCAAAATTCTCTCCCCTGACTTTCCAGATTTCCAAAATTTCCAAAATTTCCAAAATTTCCAAAATTTCCAAAAATTCCAAAATTTCCAAAATTTCCAAAATTTCCAAAATTTCTAAAATTTTCCGACCTAGTCGACAGGATTTTTCCAAAACATAAGGGCGGACTTTTTGGAAATTTTGGAAATTTTGGAATTTTTGGAAATTTTGGAAATTTTGGAAAATTTTGGAAATTTTAGAAATTTTGGAAATTTTGGAAATTTTGGAAATTTTGGAAATTTTAGAAATTTTGGAAATTTTGGAAATTTTGGAAATCCGGAAAGTTAGGGGAAAGAATTTTGGGAATTTTGGAAATGCTGGAATCTGCTCTATATATGACTCAAGTAAGATTACTGTGTAGTGCTTTTAACACTAACGTTGACATGTATATTAATGCTTTCATTTCGAATATGCACATTACTAATTCTATTATTAACATTAATACTCCTACGCCTACCAATAGTCATATTCATATTGATATTAATGCCAATACTAACAGACACCTGCGTATATTAATGTCCGCAGATATACATACCACTATCTGAAAAGCAAATATATCAATGCATTCGTGTACTAACGTAGTATATTCGTATTTAATTTGTCATATACCCAGTTTCCAACGTGACAATATACTACTTGTTAACGTCTGATTATACTGTATTGATATGCTAACTTGCTAAGACACGAATACTGTAATATGCAAGTACACTGACACATGGCAATGGTATACTAACATATGGATATACCAAAAAAGTTGTTAGATAATATACGAATATGATAAATGAAGTAGCATACCAGGATACTCATACACTAATATGTTAATATTCGAAGATAATAGCACACCAATATACTAATGTACTCATGCACGAACGTATGCATGCATTAATATACTAAGAGCATACAAACATGCAGGTATACAAACATATTACTGTTCGAATACATTATAATGTGTTGGTATACTAAGCTGTTTATATAATCTATCAGTATACTAATATATCAAAACTAGTTATAGTATTGATACGCATACTAGCACGTCCGCGAATATTACACTGATGTTAAATTCATCATTAAGACTGATTAAAACTGACATCGACATTGGCACTGGCATTAACACTACCTGGAACGCCTTGGTTGCCCCTTTTTAAGGTCAACTATTGGAAGTGCCCCATAATGTTGATCACCGTGGCAAAGTGCACCATAATTGTGATCACTTTTGGTAGTTGCTGCAAATGCAGTTAATCTGCTTGAACCCCTTCCAAAAGCTCCGAGATCAGCCTCTGCCAAGCAAGGGGCCGTGCTGGATCAGAGCCCACTTACAACAGGCAGGGTTTCTTAGCAGGCTTTTGCAGGGAAATCGATAGGACAAATCAGGTTTTGAAAGGCTTGGGTAGAATAGAAAGGGTTACGTAAAGGTTGCACACTACTGGTACTCTTTTGGTTGTAGCATAAACTAATACAACTATAGGAATCGTTCTGGGGTTTCCCGTGTGCAAGCACGCTTTTCCATTGCGCCAATGGCGAATGTCGCTGGCTGCAGCATTACCTTAGAGGACCGTACACAGAGATCCCATTGTAAGTGCATTTCTGACATCTGTCTGCTTGTGCAATCATAGCATGTTGGAAGTTTCTGCATGAAGCTTCATGGTGGGCACTGCCCATTGTAGTTCTACAAGTGTGCATGCAGGATCTGCAATGGGTGGATCTCTGGTGTCGCACATCAAGGTCCTTCCCTGCTCGCTTAAGGTGGTGTCGGAACATATAGAAGCGGGCATGTCGTTCATTGAGTGATTCGCAGAGCATTTTGCACTTCAAGGACGTGTGGGGATAGCACGTGTAGCAATGGCTGCGCAGCCATTGGCCACCCTTTTCGAGAAGGATAATTTCATTAAGAAGCGGTTCAGGAAGAAGGGTTACTTTGTCGATTTCCCGCCACGTCGGGCCGCGGGAGGAGATGACGATGATGAGGATGCGAAAAAGGAGAACCCGATAAGTACGAAAGCGATGGAGCTGAATGTCCATGCTTTGAAGGTGATGTTTTCCTTCTACAAGGTGACAAGTGGTAAGAGAGTTCCCATCCAGAAATTGGAAGCAGCAGCCACTTGCCCAGTTACATAGAAACAAATTCGTATACTATATATAGCATACAACTAAACGAATTCAAGTAGTTTGCTTGCTAATGGGTGTAGCTTGACAAGGTGAAGAAACTGTACGACAATGTCGGATGCGAACCCAATCCCAAGCTCGGCGACAAGCACTTTTACCTTGACGCATGGGATTTACGGCGGCTTTATTCATTTGCTTTGCGAAGGGAGAACGATGCCCGGAAGAGAGGGCAGAGACCTCGGGATTCTCTTCAGTGAATTATGTACATATAGTGGTTTAAAGTTGTATCATAATTTAAGTATGGCCCCCTCTATATGGTGTAAATTCCTAAGAGTTCTGAGGCACAGGCTGTTCGGGAACTCTTTGAGATCATCAAGGCGTTGCGGGATGAGTGCGATGAGGGTAGTGCCGGTGATGATGAGGAAGGCGAGGGCGAAGAGGAGGAGCAGATGGAAGATGATCCCGTTGATGAGGTTCCGGAGGTGAGTGATAGCGCTGTTCCGGGTTCAAGTGAGTCTGCAGATCCTGCAGATAAGAAGGACAACGGTGGTGGTGTCATGGCTGCCTTAGCGGATATGGAGTTCGATCCCACGGAAGACGCCCAGGCCCCGATGTTTCGTTACAGGTCGAAGTCTACCTTGCACTCTTTGCCGAGCACGGCTGTTCTGGGCGCCTCCGTTGCAAGCCCGGGGTCCTACAAGGATGCATTGACCGGGAGCAAGGAAGAGGAGTTGCAGAAGCTGCTTGAAGAAATCAGTTTCCTCGAGACTGGTGAGGCTAAGCATCCGGATACGGCCCGCCACGATGCCCTGCTCCTCATGATGGGATCCCCAACCCGACCTTCAACTGCCCGAGGCCTCGAGATTCGAAACTTACATGACACGTATCAAGCCTTTCTAAGAGATTTCAATAACATGTATAGAAACGATCACTATATATGTCCCCAACAACAGGAACCGATGAGCCACCACCGACCTGCAGAAAGAAGCTCTTCGATGATGAACCAGCTTGGAAGATGCCTCCCGACCAGGCCAATGCAGGGGTTTATCGATGTGAACATCGTACAGATCTCTAGGGCATGTATGGCACCTTCAATGCAGTATGAAATGATTCTACATGTACACATATCATGCAAGACTCAGTGTGCGAACGGATGTGCACACATCCACTCTGGTTTTCAAGAAATGTGTGTGCCTATCTATCTATCTATCTATCTCTCTATCTAATTCTATCTATCTATATCTATATCTACCTATCTATATAACTATAGGACAAAGGAGCCAAGCAACAACAACTATATATGCTAATCCAATACTATGTGACTGTAGAACTAGAACGAATAAGCGAACTGGTGTAATCAATAGGAAAGTGGGTGACTTATCCGGATAATAGGTGGGACAGGCCCTCGAAATCGGAGTTGAGAGGCTGATGGTGCCCTGTTCCGGAGGTTTTTTTAAGTGCAATGGTTTAGGCTGGGTTGGGACTTCAGGCAGCTTGCTTCTTTGCTACAGTGATCTATATATGTGTGTTCTTATGTGTGAATCAGTGAAATAATGCTAGCTTTGTGGTTTCTGCCAGGCTGACACATTCGTGCACGCAGAACCTGGTGCGGTTGGGCCAACGAGTGGGGCGATCGTGCCAGAAGATGCAGCGGGGCTTCACGGAGACAAGGTTGGGCCTCGAGTGGGTGAGGCGATCGTGCCAGAAGATGCACCGGGGCTTCATGGAGGCAAGGTTGGGCCTCCCGTGAGCGAGGCAATCGATGTGGATTCGAGTCCGGAGAAGATCAAAGCGGACTGGGTTTTGTAATTCGTGGTAAATTTATTCCGTGTTGCTGTGCTTTATAAATGTTTGGGGTAGCAGTAGCATTTCCACACAGGAGCCACAGTCCCCGACAGCGGCCAAAGATCAAGTGGTCCAGCCGGTTTCTCTAGAGGCTCAGAACCAGCTTCGGGCCACGCTTCGAGAGAAGCTCCGTCGTGACCGTGGTGGCAAGGGTCCTAAGGGTGGCAAGAAGGCTGCCACGGCGAGAAAGACCAAGAAGGGCGAGGTGGGCTCTGGTGAGAGCTCGCATGATGATGAAGGTGCTGGAGAGGCACCGCAGGTGGCATCGAAGCGCAAGCGTGCAAAGGCACCGCGGGCGGCATCGAAGTGCAAGCGTGATGAAGGTGATGCGGAGGCACCGCCGGTGGCATCGAAGGGCAAGCATGATGAAGGTGCTGTGGAGGCACCGCCGGTGGCATCGAAGCGCAGGCGTGGGACTTGCGACAGTGAGCCTGTTGCCTCGCCAAAGGCGAAGGCAAAGGCAAAGGCAAAGGGGAAGGGGAATGCGAAGTCCGAAGAGAAGTGCACGGCCTCGCCAAAGGCGTCGCCAAAGGCCTCGCCAAAAGCCAAGGCGAAGGCAGGTGCCAAGGCCAAGGCCAAAGGGAAGCCAAAGAGTGCGGCGGTTGACAGCGGTGTGGCTCTGAGGCTGAAGCCCGATCCCAGCCGAAACGGCTACTCCGAGTGTGGCACCCTTTTGTTGGGATGCTCGAGCTGCCGATGGGGTCCGCTTGGTTGTGGCACGTGCCTTCGTGTGAACTTCCACGGTGTTCGCTGGAATCGTGTGGCATGCGGAGACTGGGAGTGATGAGCAGTCCAGATCGGTCGTACCTCCAGTTGAGTGTGTGTGCAGGCTGTTTATACCATGATCTTGATCCGGATCAGTCTCTTCGGCATGCTGCATGCCTTTGCTACATGCAGCCTTCTTCGGGGCTGCTTAATGATTTCCGTGGCTGCTGCGAGCTATCAGCTACATGTCTGTTCTTCTGTGCATCACCTCGGTGATGTTTTGCAGTTTTGCAGGGCAAAGCCTTCGGTGGGCACGGGTAGGGGCGGCTGCTGTCGTGCTAGAAGATGCATGTGGTATGAGTATGCATATACAGTATGTATAGTCGCTCTTTTGCTATTCTACTTGTACACTGTCATCCATATACATATAATGTGCCTCAAAGTATCTACGATATCTTTAGCTTGTGTCGCAATACATTGTTTTAACATGGCTGTTTATGTAGAACAAGTAAAACCGCATGTTTCTCAATCTGGACTTATGCCGTCGTCAGGTTACACAGGTACATGTGCACATGTTAAAGCATGTTCTTTCAGGGTTGGATGACAAACATGTATAGAGATCATAGGTAAGTAGGTGGACTGAGATCTATATAGAAAAGACGGAGCGCTGATTCTAAGTATATGCAACGGTGCGACGGTGGGAAAACTGCATACTTATACTGGGCTTAGAGGTCATCGTGGCAGCATCGTCCATAGAACCTGTGCCTTATCTCCGAGGGATCTTATGCAGTGGGGATCTGCTTCATGAGCTTCTCGACCTATGTGCTGCAAAAATGGATCGAGTGAGTGAATGCTCTCTGCATGAAACATAGGTGCAACCGTCTGTGCTGCAAGCATAACCTGACACGATAGCCCGTGCTTGCACCAACGGCACCAACCAAGCGATGTCTTAGCCAGGTTCTTTTTCAACATGCTCGATGAGTACTTCGTGGAGGCTGCGGCATCGAATCGATGAGGGGCCCAGTGCAGGTTCGCCCCGCTCGCCGCAGCATGCAGCACCTGTCGGGGTTGAGTCAGTGCCGAGCTTGACACACAGCTGTTCCCACAATTGTGTTGCCATGCTGAAGCATCGTGCTCGAAGTGTTATGTGCATGCTGCACGGGTTCCGTTCTGTGACATGGCACCACATGAGCTGGATAGCCTCCTCTGCCGGCTTTTGGAAATCAATGCTCCAGGGGTGCCTAGGCGAGATCTGGATAGGAGCACAATATAATTTCTACACGAACTTAAGACTTAAGGCTTCTGCTGCTCTCCTTGAGGTTCTATTGTGTGCCATAGTGCTCCTCGTCTTCAACACCAAGATTGACTTGGTCAAGGCAGGGTTTATTCGGTTTGTTCAGTTAGCAGTTATAGCCTTTTATACATCTCATGAAGAGCCTCGCCAAGCCTCGCCAACAGATGCTCAAACAAACCTAGCCTTTCGGCCAGGTCTATGATGCAATGGAAGTGTTCGCTGGAGTGGCTTCTTTATCGAGGTGCCTCTCGATGTCTGGGCTTTGTGTGGCAGCCCTGGAAATCAGGTTTTGGGATGCTATTGCAAATGAGCCGGGGTATGATCGATCTACACGTAACCCGATGGATCTATGCACTCCTGCAGGAATGGCGCTTCTGGGCTTTTCATTATTTGGTTCATGGGGTCGGGGTTTCTTGGGTTGATGGAGGAGTGGACTAAACTTATATACGGCCAGACCAGTACCGCCACCGAATGCCCAAACATTCTGCATGTTCCCTGGGCCCTGTTGTGATGAGTTTTCCCTTTGGGGTATACAGTATATTTCTGTTTAAGCCCCGACACCCCAAACAAACATTCCATAATCAATGTCTCTTGCTTGCTCTGTAGCCCTACATAACCTGAAACACTTCAATCGGTCTATAGACGACATCCCCTCACCCCAAAGAAAAAATGCAGCAACACTACCGTCGCCACGACCACCGCCACCACAGCCACCACCAGCAGCGCCACCACCATCACCATAGTTGTCACCACCAACAGCAACGACACCAACGCCAACACCAACACCAAGAGCAGCAGCAACAACAACAACAACAGCAGCAGCAGCACCACCAACAGCACAACAACGACCAGCAGCACCACCGCCACCACCACCACCACCAACAGCAGCAGCCACAGCCACCGCCACAGCCACAGCCACAGCCCACAGCAACACAACAACAACAGCAACAATAGCAACAAAGGTGCAGCAACAACAACTAAGAATGGCAGTAAGTGCACTTTCCTACTGAGGCTGTTGCTCGTGAGCATCTTGAAGGCGAAGGATGGGAAATTCGTTGTTAGCTTCGGCATGGAATGTGGGACCTGGGTTACGGTTTCACGTCATTCAACAAAGCGCGAATACTTCAAACCCCTGGGTGACTCCAGCCGCAAGTGTGTGGCGGATGCGAATCTTCTTTGCAGCAGGACTGGTAGTTCAGGGGTGACATCTTCGAGGCAGAATTCGGGGCCTCTGTTCTGTGCTGTTGCAATGGTTCAATCACCCTGTCGAGGATGGCTTTGGCAATATACTTGATATTGGCTAAGTCGGGTACATGGGTGCTGGAACAGCCCTCTTCATCTTTGATTTGGCGACACCCCAGAATGCAGCAACTCCTACGAGCAACACGAGTGGCTTGGACATAAAAGGCCGTCCCTGTGATTCTGCACCCTTAGAAAACAAACCCCGACTAGTTCAGGCCCATGCCCAGGATAGCTGTTTGGTGTTCCCGCCCCAGTAAACACCTTCGAGTGCTAGCAAATCAAGTGTGGGTTTAAGTTGGCTAGTTTATCCCCTACTAGAAACTGCACGTGAAGTCACTTGAACCCTTCCAATGTGTCATATAGACACAAGCTGAAGCACCCCGAGCCCTGCCATATGTGTGTATCCTTTAAGCCCTGAAGCAGCTATAGTGAAAGCAGACTCAACCAGAATCCTACTGGGACACGTTTCAGCCCGACCAGTGATGTGTTCTGAGGAGCCCGAGAATGTAGTCGGTCATGTAGACACAACCTGGGTTTCTGCAGGGCTTGGGTGAGCTCCTACATCATTCCATGGGTAGTAGTGGGGCTGAAACCTCGATCCATGGTACTCAAGCACACCAAACATCACCTTAAGGGCCCGAAGCCTCAAGCAGCCCTAACAGCAACGAACCCCGACGAGTGACTATACCCGGAAACCTACCGAATACTGATGTATGCTCCGGGCTTCATAAGGGCGGGGGTGGCTGAGGTATGTATATATATATATATGTATGTATGTATGTATGTATGTGTATACATATATATTATTTTATATGCATATGTATGTATAGGTTTGGCGGTATATGGCTGTTATATGCAGCATGCACACACACATATATATATATATATATACATACATACATCTATAGCATGCAGGTTCTCTAGTGATCCCTTAAAGAGGCAACCCTCTTGATCCCAGAGCGACAAGATTATAAGGGAGCTCCAAATGGCTTATACGTATTATAGTTCTAGTCCTGTAGAGACCAAACCTATGTAACCCAAAAGCCCGATGTTTTGTATAAACCCAATTTAAACCTTTATCCACAAACCCAGCTAAGTTAACTTAAAACCCTTTGCAACACATATTGATCTTGGAGCAGCATTTGCTATACGAGGCACCACCAAATCTCTCCAACTGCAGAAGCCCGAACTGAAACATAATAACCACAGCATGTTCTCGATCTCTCTCTCTCTACCCCAAAACCCTCCCTCTCTCCCGGTGACCTCTCTCACTGTCTGATCTAGATAGGTCGATCTATCTCATCTCTCCGTGCATACAAGTGCATTGTGCATTGCATGTATGCATGTATGTGTCCACAGTTCCCATAGACCTCCGAGACGACCCCTTCAAAGGTATTCCGAGTTGGCTTCTGGATGTGCCGCTTTGGAGCCAAGTCCCCGAAGCGAACGCGACTTTGGTCAAACAGTCGGGGCATCGCTGCCTTCCAAGATCCACGCCCGCTTACAGCTGCAGAGAAGGGCAGGATATCAAGGCACACGTTGGTTCGAAGGCATGTTGACCAGCGCACTGGCACTAAGAGGTTCACGGGCAAAAGGGACAGCTTGAAAGCTTCTGGGTGCCTCTGCTTTCCAATAGACTGTCATGGTTTCTGTAGGGTAGATCGATCTCTGCATGCAATTTACAGCAGCCAAGGCAGTACCCATTCCCGTATGGACTACGCTTCGTCCGGGCTTTTCCCCGATTGCTTGCAGAACGAGTTCCGCCTCACCAGCAGGACCATTTCTACAACTTTATGCAATAGCACCCGCATATCAAGCCGACATGTGCCACACCCCGGCCCTGCTCAGGCCAGCAATGTCGTGGACAACCCCGATCCCAAGTCTGTCTTGTGCGACAAGGCTCTGTTCGAGGATCTGTGGAATGACGCCAGGATGCCAGAAGTGATCTCGTACCTGAGAGGAGCCACGAGTCTGGTAATGCCAGACGAGTGGAAGCGGGTGTTCCCAACAAGTTTGCCTCCTCTGTAGATTCAGCACATACAGCAGTCCTATACAATTGAAGCCAGCTATGGTCATTCTTAAACAATTATGCTCAATCATTATCGTCCCTGGCCCATGGCAAACCTAGCTGTATGAGTGGAGACTATATAGATACATTCGAGGCTCTTTTGTAGGGACTGCCAATGGTCACTGTTCGGTTTTCGGGTCCCCTTTAGAAACACAAACCATAGCCACTTTAGACTTGGTTGCACTTATGGTACTGTTGGGCAATTTCTGTACACTTCGGGAAAAGGGTACACAGTGACCCCTAAAACGTACAGTGGCGTACGTATGGAGCAAAGTGGCGTACAAAAGCGTGCCGTCCGTATCCATATTTACGTCACTTTGCCCGGTAGCTTTTGTGCTGTGTTCAACCAAAACAGACATCCACCGCGCCTGAACCAGCAGCCTTCAGTGATTGGTCGCTGGTGGCCCATATAGATCAAGTGACGCTCCTTAGGGAGTGGTGGGGATTATGGCACCTGTGCACCTGGTTTCGAAGCAGTGGTCCTGCGATTCTCTTCTACAGGGTCAAGCCTACATGGCCCGGCAGAAGTTTCAGCTGGATGAAGCCATGAGTATGGAAGAGAAGGTAGCAGTTGCCTGGCTGCTCTAGTGTGTCTTTGCTTATACACACCGGGTAGCTACTGATTACATATGCTGCAGGCTGCAAAGAAGCACTTGCAAATGCTTCGGGTACCACGGCCAAAGCCTTGCAGCCCGGTCAAGAAGACCAGCCCGATCAAGAAGACCAGCCCGATCAAGAAGGCCAGCCCAGTGAAGGACACCAGCCCGATCAAGAAGACCAGCCCAGTGAAGGACACCAGCCCAGTCAAGAAGACCAGCCCAGTGAAGGACACCAGCCCAGTGAAGGACACCAGCCCAGTGAAGGACACCAGCCCCGTCAAGGACACCAGCCCAGTGAAGGACACCAGCCCAGTCAAGGACACCAGCCCAGTGAAGGACACCAGCCCAGTCAAGAAGAAGAGCCCAGCCAAAAAGACTCCAGCGAAGCCCCGGGTGACAAGCCCATCCAGCACAAGTACCCGCACCAAGACCACTCCGAACACTGCATCCACAGATGTCAAGGTGGAACCGGCAAGCCCAGTTGCAGAGTCAACAGCAGTGGACCCGTACGAGGACAGCCCCTTAATCTCTGAAAGCACCCTAAACCCTTATAGTTAATCTCTGAAAGCACTTATTGCGAATCCTGTAAGTTGGTGCAGACCAGCTACATCGTCAGCAATCTCAGTGTAGCCATATGTTGCAGACAGTGAATCGTCGAATACCTTGGCTAGGGGTGGGCAACAGGAGCAGGAGGAGCTTAGCGACGGCATCGACGACGATGGCTTGAAGCAGTCTCTGAAGGCATGGCATGTGAACACCGGAACATGTGCACAGTGTGTGATGTGATAATCGCATCAAAATGCAAAGGAGTGTGCACCCTACGTGGCACCATAGACTCATGCACATCGGCCACAATCCTACACAACATCGTTGCCCTCACACGCAGAACCCTGACCAACGTGCCAATGCTTTCCGAGTGGTATTCTGCGAGGCCATCCATGGGGTCGCCAAGGCCGTGAAGGAGGCGCCTGACCAGAAGGAAGGCGATGGGGCCATCGGCAATGGCAAGGATATCCGCTCACGTGTGTCTTGTGGGGTGACAGAGCGAAAGAGCGAGGGGGGCTGCCTCTCTCTCTCTCTCTCTCTCTCTCCCTCCCTCCCTCTGTTTCTCTCTCTCTCTCTCTCTCTCTCTTTCTGTGTCTCTCCTCTTATAATAACATAATGGTGATCGTTGAATAAAGGGGTGCTTCCTAGTGATGAAGAAGCACCTATTTGTTCTGTCTCTCTCTCTCTCTCTATCTCTCTGCCTCTCCTCTTATAACAACATAACGACGATCGTTGAAAAAGGTGTGCTTCGTAGTGATGCAGAAGCACCTATATTTTCTCTCTCTCTCTCTCTCTCTCTCTCTCTCTCTCGCTCTCTCTTGCTCTCTCTCTCTCTCTCTCTCTCTCTCTCTCTCTCTCGCTCTCTCTCGGTTTCTCTTTCTCTTTCTCTCTCTTGTAATCTCCCGATGTAGTTATTATCTCTCTTGGCAAGGGTTTAGGGTATGCTAGGGTATAGTGTGGGTTGGTCGGTTGGGTTTCTTGCCTTCTGCTTTCAGGACTGCACGAAGGCTTGGCGGCGAGCTGAGGCAAAGGTTCGTCGCATGGTAAAGCCAACGGCTCGGTCGCGGTCGATTTCGGCTACTCCGGAGATGGTAAAGAGATGGGATGCTGGTGGCGATTTAAAGAATGATCTTATCCGCACAATGATGAAATGTGATGGCAACAAGGACTGTTTAATATAGCAGCACATTGCCTGCATAGCTACCCGTAGCTATGATGATCCCTGGTGTGCTACAATGAACCCCACGTGTGAAATCCGGCAGGATGTTTGGAAGCGCACGGTGCAGATTCAGATCAGCCGGAGCAAAAGCAACGATCTGACGATCGTGTGCGGTTGGTACACGAAGGAGAAGATGCGGTCGGTTTTGAAATTCGCGCCGTGTGGGCCTTGTGTTGTGTTCGATTTGAGTTTGCATGGTCACGACATACTGGCCGTGGGTTTCGTTTGGGTCGTGCACACCTTAGGCAGAGAATCAAGAAGGTTATCAAGTATTGCATGAACCCCAAGCGCATCAAGACCCATACGAGGCCTGCTGCACCTGTGTGTGTTTTCTGAACCATGAATTAAGTCAATTAAGTGCTCATGCCCCTGAACCAGGCGTGATAAGTACGAGAAAGACAAGATCGAGTACTGGGTTGAGGAGGAAACCAAGGGCAGCTACACGATCAGCCAGAAGGAGTCATGGAAAGACACAAGGGAGATCGATGTTCCCGAGGACGTCGATGGCGAAGCCACTCCCGGTGATGCCGATGATGACAGTGATGACAATCAGGATGATGCTAGCTCCGTTCTCGAGTCTTCTGGAGGCTCCAGTGATACTGGCTCAACCACGAAGGGCAAGAAACGAAAGCGAGGCGGCAGGAGCAAGAAGGAAAAGAAGGAGAAGAAAGCAACAAAATCTAAAAAAGACAAGAAAACCAAGAAGGTGAAGCGCAGCAAGAAGAGCCAATCCTCCCCATCCTCAAAGGTTGGAACCCCCACCAAAGACAACGAAGCGCTCGAAGAAGAAGCCCGTTCCGAGGCTCCTGTACCGAACTGAAGTTATCTGAAGTTATGCGGTTATCAAAACCCATAGCCCCTTGCCTGCAAGGCGATCGAGAATGCCGGCACCCTGATGCAGCAGCTCCTGAGGGTCCAGACCAAGGTCGAGGCTTGTGCCGGGAAGCTCGAAGTGCTTCCGGGGGACAAGGCTAAAGCGACTTTCGGTTGCACCGAATCATGGATCTGTTCCTATGGTGTTCCTGGTGGCGATTTACAAAAGGGTGTTTTGAGGGTTTCCCCATTATGGTAAATATAGGTTGTTCCGTGAAGGCTTCAAGGGGTACCTTCAGGACTTTGTATGGTTTCCCGTACAGTGTTCGCTTCATGCATAATCTAATCTTGTTGGTATTGTGATTACCCCAAAGTGCACAACTACCCTAATCCCGCCAATTCAGGTCCTTCAACAAGATCAATGACTATGCTGTCAAGCTTTCGGGCTACCATGATGAGTTGGCCGAGCTGAAGGCATCCTATGCTGGCTCGAAGAAGTCAATCTGCCAGAAGCCACTTGCATAAATTCTGCAGAACAAATAGAACATACTACCCCTTGGTTTGGTTGCCTTTCATTTCTAGGTCGGTGAAGAAGCTCCAGGATATCGTCATGGAAGCAGAGAAAACGCCCAGCCCTTGTTGTTTCAGTTTCGGCCCGATGCTGGAACATCAATAATCCCCAAATAGATGCCCCGAGGTGTGCCAGATTCGGAATGGAAGAGACGAAGCTGAAGAGGATTCCTCCACTCCCCAAATCATATGCCTATGGTTCCAAGTCTAAAAGCCATTAGAACAGCTAGCAATATAACCGCATATGTTTTTAGTACTCGGCATATTCGTATTTCCTTATGCCTGGTTGAGGGTCACTGCTATATGTCCCTTAATACCTTTGGGCAACACTAACTTCGACCCCTCTTCAACCCCCATGCAAAGCCGAAAAACTCCATATGCCCCCGAACATATGCTTATATAAACCTTAATAAACCCTAAAAAACCCTAAAACCCAAAATGCACAAATGGCTGTGCAAGTCTCCGGCGATGTAGCGCCCCGGCTTTTGGCAGCCTCACGCAGGGGTTTGAGTTTAGGGATTTATAGGGTTTAATCTAGGGTTATGTATATATATATATATATAGTATATATTCATTTAAAGGTTTTCGGGTCGACAAGAAATAGCAACCGAACCACCGCGACTACGGCGACGACGACTGCTGCTACTGCTACTAGTACCCTGCCCTGCTATTACCAGCACCGATATACGTGCATTGCTGCATTGCTGCTACTACTACTGCTACTACTACTACTACTACTACTACTACTACTACTACTAATACTACTACTACTACTACTACTACTACTACTACTACTACTACTACTACTACTACTACTACTACTAGGACGACTACGACTACGACTGCTTCTGCTGCTGCCCCTATTTGTATACTCCTCTACAGCTCTACTGCTCTTCTAGAACTACTATGACGACTACTGCTGCTACTGCTCCTGCTGCTCTCTACTACACTTCTGCTGCCGCTACTGCTGCTAGTACCACTACCACTACCACTACAACCACCACTACCACCATGGCAACCCTTCCCCTACTCCTACCACCACCACAACAACCACAACCACGACCACCAAAACTACCGCTACCGCTGCCAGTACCACTACCGCTATACCACTATACCACTATACCACCACCACTACCACTACTACTCTACGACTGCTGTTACTAGTACTGTTACCCCACTGCTACCACTACTACTACTACTACTACTACTACTACTACAACTACTACTTCTACTACTACTACTACTACTGCTACTACTAGTACTAGCAGTAGCAGTAGTAGTAGTAGTAGTAGTAGTAGTAGTAGAAGTAGTTGTGGTAGTAGTAGTGGAGAGTAGTAGTAATACTACTATAGTAGTAGTACTAATACTACGACCGCGACGACTATACTACTGCTTCTTCTTACTATGCTACTACTACTACAACAACTACTACTACTACTACTACTACTACTGCTACTACTGCGACTACTGCTCTTATGTGGATGGCGAGGACTACTGGACCGAGGGCTCGCAAGGCCCCATGAATTTGTTGCATCCCGGATCAATAAGATAAACCTCGAAACCCTTATAAGATCCTCAAACTTGTTTGGGGCTCCAGGCCGGTTCCCGGAATTCGGATATCCGTAAATTCTTAAATAACGTGGTACCTCTGCTGTTGTTGCTGCTGCTTCTGCCGATGCTGTTGCTGAAGATGACGATGATTCTGCAGCTGCTTCCCCTTCGTGGTTCCCGAATGATGCAGATGATGATATGCTCAAGGTGATGATGTTGTCGTTGTTGTTGTTTGTTGTATGGACTGACCTTAACAAGAGCATGTTTGGGCAGGACATTGCTCAAGAAGCCCTCATCGAAGAATGTGGGCGATACTGAAGCCGAGAAGGATGCTGCAAACGCAACACCAAAGGCCAAAGCCAAGGGTAAACCCAAACGTGCGGCCAAGCCGAAGAAGTCCAAGGTATAGGAAGTATAAGCTTAGGGAGGATCCTTTTGCACTAGGCTCGGAATCCCCGCTAAACCTATCCTGGTATGCACATATTTTAATTTAAGTCTTTACTTATGTGTTGTTTTATCTATATCAACCCGATCTGTAATACCCTGTATACTACAAGACCACCCTAACTACGATGCCTATATGTCCCCAAAATTAAACTCCCTTTCTGCCTTCAGCCCGGATTCGCCCTCCTAAATCCCGAGTCGTGTAACCTCAAAGTTCCTTGGACACCGCAGTTCGGTAGCCTACTGACCCCGGGGTGGAGTGCCGTGCTGTGTGATTCTACGACTGTATATGCTCATAATTACCAAAAGGTAGTTCTACTTGTACTCGAATAGACAACTGCACTAATCCGTGAAAGCTCGCCTCCGGGGGTCGGCACGCAGCTGGCCAGCCAGCCTTGGGCCCGTGAGTGTTTTCTCACTTTTCACAGGCAAGCCGGTGAAACATACCTATATATATATATGTACATATATATGTATTCATTATATCCGAAAGACGTAGTGGGGCAACAATATGTTTCGCCGGTAAGCCTCACTCTATAGACTTTATAGAGTTGTCAAGACAACCAGGGGAAGCGCCAGTGCAAGATGAAACCGTGTGCTGGTCTCAAAACAGCTACCGATGACACAGTATATACTCACTGCATGTTGCACATCTGACAGTGTCTGGTACTTACAACTTAAGCCTCCGAAAGAGTGATTCGAAACCCTATATCGTCACCAAGAAACATGTCCACGCAGGCCCGGCGCCGAAACGGCGACGAGTGGAACCATGTGGTCCCGTTGCGAAAACTGTAGCCCAATGTATTGCCTCTGGGGTACCTTGGCTTCGTGTCGGGTCATAGCATTAGCTTGGTTTGAGCAACATTTTCCATTATTGGTTGACTATTGTCAATGTTGGAAATGTAATGCAGTCTCTGCTTGTCTGTGTGCAGGTAAGCGAGAAGCATGCTTGCAAACTGGCAGCAGCTATGTACGAGGAGCTGCAAAAGCCCGATCCTATCCCATCGCTCGGGTTTATCAGGGAGCTCAACAGACTTCATGCAACCGGCCATGAGAACAGGTTGCCGGATGTTTTGAGCGATTTCCGATTGCAGGCCCCGGTTCCAATGACTTACGAGGAGATTGGCTTGAAGCATTTGCACCCTACGTTACGACTTCGATCTGTTATTGAGACCTTGAAAAAGACCCCAGGGAAGATCGATCATCTTCTGGTGGGAAATGGTCCTGCTGAGTTCAAATCTTTTTGGCATCGGTATCGAAAACTTCACCCAAACCACGATGTATTTACTGATCACGCAGCCCATCTACACGCTTGTGTGCCAATGATGCTTCATCTGGACGAGGGCACTTCTCACAAGAAAAAGGGGTTGATGGTGTTTTCTGTACAACCACTTTTTGGCAGAGGCTCCAAAAAGAGCGGGGCTTCGGGTATCAATTTTATTGGCAGCACGTACTGCACCAGATTCTTGTATTCGACTTTATTGGCACGGATCTATTCGACAAAGAAAAAGTTCCTTTATGCTTTGCTGGACCATTGGCAGGAAGATCTTAACGATTGCTACAAGAATGGAATTGAGATCGATGGTGTTGCTGGCCTGGACACAGTGTTTCCTGTCGTCATCAATTGCAAGGGCGATTGGCCAGCTCTTACCAAGGCTGGTCGCCTCAACCGGCATCATTTGAGAGATGCCCCGGCAAGTGATGATCCACCTGGGATTTGCCATCTATGCCGTGCTGGGCAAAAAGGCTTCGCTTGGAACGAGTTTGAAGCTTCGGCAAAATGGCTTCATGCTGACAGCCCATTGCCCTGGACGACACCTAGCCCATTGGCAAAGCTTCCGCAGGACCGGGATGACATGGCTGCCTTCTACTGCATTGACTTGTTCCATGCTGCCCACAAGGGTGTGGTAGGAGACTTTGTTGCATCGGCGATTGTAGTTTGGCCGCAACACACTGTTTGGAACAGTTTGCTATCGCACGCCAAACTGGCGCAATAGACGTTTGAACACGTAGCTTAAGTGCACCAAACGGATCTCAGGTGATATTGTGTGATCGTGGTATTTTCGGCACCACCGGTGGACTTCCAAGATTCCTCGACAACTTTTTTGGAGAGCTTCGAGACTGGTGCAAGGCCACAGGCCATTATTTGAATATGACGAGGCTGACCAAAGACCTGCTTGGCATCGACACTGGGGCTGACTTTCCGGTTGCGAATCTTGCTTGGCTGTTGTTATTGCTTTGACGTGGTCTAGTTTGGTTGTTGTTTAGTGTCCAAAGTTGTTGAAACCAAGTGTTGTTTTTGATCTTCGACTGAGGCGGTGGTTTAAGGGAAACGACACATCCATTATGTCAAAATTCCTGGAAATCAGATACAAGCAGATCCTTGCTGACTGTGAATCACCGATGGAGCAGGAGCTTTCTAGCATCCATGCTGGGTTGGTTGCTATAGGCCGATTTATGCACCTGGTCTACTCCCTGCCACTTTGGTTGAAGCCTGGAAAGGCTTCTGAGTTGGCTTCCCTGGGATTGCGCTTTCAGCGTGCATTCAATGCAGCAGCAGAATTCTCTCTCGCTGCTGGCAGGCCACGATTTAAGGTGATGCCCAAGTATCATCTTTTCTCCCACCTGGTCCATTATTTACGGCGGAGTGCGGAAAGGAATGTTCACTGCCTCAACATACTTTGCTTCTCATGCCAACTTGACGAGGACTTTATTGGGAGAGTTTCTGCCCAGAGCAGAAACGTCTCCATTCGCTCTGTTCATGAGCGGACGATTCAGAGATACCTCTTGAACTTGGCTCTGCAATGGTAAAAAAAGGTTTCCGATCGCACGAGTCACCATCATAACATTGACTCATGTTTGCTTTCGATGCAGTGCTGCCAAGAATCAACCCAGCATTAACAGTTCCCGAGGGTTTTCTTTTCAATTCGGGGGTTTGCAATCACAACCATTCAATCACCTAAAATGGACCTAAAGGTAGTGGCGCTAATCTTCGTCACAGAGGCCTGTTGCCCTTTAAAAAGGTACACCAGGCTTTCCAGGTAATTATCACTAAATATGCTAGTGTACTAATATACGAATACTGTAAAAGGCAAGTACACTGACATGTTCACATGCCATTATGCCAACATATTGATATACCTATAAGCTATTAGGGAAAATACGAATATAGTAAATGTAGTAATAGACCACTATAATAATATACTAATATACTACTACGTTAACATACGAATATCATGATACACCAATATACTAATGTACTCATGCACCAACGTACTAATATATTCGCGCAATCTTCAACTCTGCAAATATACTATTGTTCGAATACATTACTGTATTATTATATTAAGCTCAAAATGTACGAATCAATCAGTATATTCACATATCAAAACTATTTCTAATACTGATACTAATACCAGCACTTCTGTGAATAATAAACAGATACAAAAACCAGCATTCAGACTGATACTAATACTAACACGAGTACTATTACTGACATTGACATCGACACTGGCACTAACACCAGCACGAACATAATCACGAGTTCATATTTACTATTATTGATATGTATACTTTTATTCAATACTAATACTAATACTGATGCTAATACTAATACTAAATACCAATACCAATACTAGTACTAAAGCAATACCCATCCTAATATCAATACTACCACAAAACTACTACTCATATGAACACTGATACCAGGATTAGGACTACTACAAACAATGACAGCAGTACTAAGAATAGAACCAAGAACAATACATATTACTCCTAACACTAATACTAGTACTAATACTAGTTACTAATTCTAATACTCATACTCATACCAATACTAATGTCACCACTACTGCTGCTTCTACTACTGCTACTACTACGACTACTACTACTACTACTACTACTAGTACACATACTTAATACTAAAACTAATACTGATACTCATACTAGTCACTAATACTAATACTAATACTCATTCTAATACTAATACCAATACCAATACCAATACTAATGCTACCACTACTACTGCTGTGCGACAACTATTGCTAGTACGACGACTACTACTATTAACATCAATACACATACTTAATGCTAATACTAAGAGTAATACTAATTCGAATACTATTACTCATACTAAACATCCTAATATCAATACTACCACAAAACTAATACTAATGCTAACACTGATACAAGAATGAAGATCTACAAACAGGAATAGTGGTACGAAGAGCAGAATTGAGATGAAGATTGGGACTAGGAGCACTGCATGCGTGTGAAGAAATTTCCAAAAATTGCAAACCATCTAAAAGAACATTTTGGAATTGAGTTTGGGAGAAGTGTCTGTCGCCTATCCGTTGACAGATCCTGCCTGGGGACGCACGCCACCCTTCCCCTTCCCCACGACGGTCTGTCATGGGGGGGGGGGGGTGAGCATATATATATATATGTATTTGTTTATAGTTATGTATGTATATGTAAGTCTGTATACATGCACATCTAACTACATATCTAGTAACCTCAGTACATATCTATATGCACACACACACATACATACATGCATGTGTGCATGTAGGCACGCACACGCAAATACATTCAGTCATGCATTGAGTCAACCGGTTCACTCCTTCATGGTTACAAACCATGCAAATGCGCACACATACATATGAACGCACGTATGTTTGTACGTAAATGCAGACATGCATATGTAGGTTCATAATTAGTTACAGGCAGACAGACAGACAGACAGAGCCAGACAGAATGACAGCGACAGACAGACAGACAGACAGCCAGCCAGCCAGCCAGCCAGCCAGGAGGCAGGAGGCAGGCAGGCAGGCATACATACACACATTCGTTCAGATACATGCGTGCATCCATAACTACATGCCTACATGGATTCATGCCGATGACTGCATGCATGCGCATGCAGGCAAACAGAAAACAGATCCCACAGCTTGATTGCTTCCCTACTTCCATGCCTGCCTCTACGAGTCTACGGTCGGTTGAAAGTAGCATTGAGGCGGACATTAAGAGGTTCTTTAACGGAAAACTACAGATAGCTGCTTGTTCGCAGGAACTGAACGACCAATCTCGCGTATGGAACATAAGAACTTGTCAGCGCTCAAGATTTTCTAGGTGTACTAGAGGGGCCTTATTAATCATTACCTATACTATTTCGGGAGTTCCTTCTTATAAGTACAGTGTAAGATACCCCAAAACCCTATTCATATGATGAAGGCCCCTATATTACGTATAGGCGAGCCCGAAAGATGGTTGCCAAAGCTTCATTGCCCAGTGAAGCTTGCGAGGTGCCGTGGTGGTGCAGCTTGGATTGTTGTGTTTTGAGGGTGAGAGAAGTACGGTTGATGATATGAATCCTGCATTACCCATTGTAAGGAATATACCATAATTGCCATAAGTTTAGGGTCCTTAAGGTAATGCAGGAGTTTTCTGGAGCTGTGGCGAAGGTTCCTGGCTCGTGCTTGCGCTTTGCTTAGGGTTTGGGGGATAAGAATTTGGAGCAGTGGGGAGAGGGCTCAGATCATGGGATGCGGGGATGAAAGCTACTCGATGTTTCTGAACGACGGTGGAAGGGTGCTTGCAGGCTCTTGCAAATGGGTAGTTGTCAAAATTATGGCCCCTTTTTGGGTACACTAAATATTAGGTGCCGTATTATAATGGGGACCCAGAAAGGGACCCTAATCTGTCCAAACCACCCAAATCATGAGCAGGGTCTGAGTGTTTTGTTTTGGCTGAAACAACTATTCAACCAGCTCTTGACATGTTAGTTGTGACAAGTTGTCACTACCCTGAACCTTTATTCATTATCTGACAAGTACTGGAGGGGCCTGAATAATTGAAACAGGCTGCGGGCGTATACTCGTTGCAACCCTTGGGCAAGAATTACACAATACAACCCAGCTACCAAGCCGCAGAGGTCTTTCGCCGTTGTTGGCGTGGCAGTGGCGTTCTGCGGCGCAGCTCTTCTCAAGAGATCTAGGGCCAGGGTTCGTTTGTGTTTCGGGCTCACGTTTACTGTAGGACCCTGCCGTAGACATGCCGCGACAGCCACCAACATAAGAAAGAAGCAATAATGACAACCAGGCGACAAAAATCAAGGCAACAGTGGTATATACTCGTAATCGGTGTTGCGATTTTAGGTATTGAAGCCTGCAATCACACACCAAATGGATGTAGATATGTGCAGGTACGCATGTGTAGACACATGGTGATTCTTGCACAATTCCATACACGTGTGTATCTACGTGTGCAGGTTTACACATCGGTCTTTTCCATCGTAAGGATTAGCTCAGATCAATCTGGCCGTGAAATCGGCAGCAACACGCCCGCACAATTTCGATGATCGGTTCAGCTTCCACGCGCTCGTCAGAGTCGGACTCAAAGGCTTACAGGCCCTGAATCTCTGCATGAAGTCCCGAAGCAGTCTTAGGGTTTAGAGTTTAGGGTTTATAGTAGAAGCCAGAAAGTTGGAACAGCATTATCCCCATGCCCTTAAGGTAAAGTATAAGGGATCCTAGCACTAATCCTCCTAAAGCCATGTTCCAACTTTCTGGCTTCTACTATATTGTTGAGGGGTCTCTTGGTCCAGCAGGAAACTCCGCGAACGAAATGGTTTCAGATATCTTCGCCTTAAGTTCGCAAAGCCCAAAAAAGAGTCTACAAGCTCACTTCCACGGCCGTTTTATCCGGAATGCCAATATCTGCCCCAAACAGATTCTTCGGAACGTCGAGACTCAAGGCATTTCACGTGTTTATACCCCGACCGAAATCCATGTGGATGGTTGTCAAAATTAGGGTCTCTTTGTGGGCCCCTATTGTAGTACGGCACCTAATATTTAGGGTACCCAAAAAAGGGACCCCAATTTTGACAACTTCTCCTTTAAAGGGATTTATAAGGGTTCTATAAAGGGTTTAGGGTTTAGAGTCTCCGAAGATTAGGGGGTGCCTTATTTTGGGGTCCTTATAATAAGGATCCTATTATTTAGGGTACTATATTATGGGTCCCCTGTTTTCGGAAACTCCCAAAAGTCAGAATTACTAGGTGGCAATTTGGGAAAATTGTTAAATCCCCGTTATGGTTCCCATAGAGGTACCTATTCAGCAATACTTTGCAGAGCCCCCAAAACTACAACCCAGAGTATCTAAACCCAGCCTGCGTGAAGCTTTGGCGCCGCGAAGCCCTGCCCCTAAACCCTAAACCTTAAAGACCCCTTTAGAGGAACCCCTAAAGCAACCCTTAAAGGAACCCTACAGACCCCTTATAGAGCCCTTTAAAGGAACCCTTAAAGGGCTCTATAAGGTGCAGCTTCTTCCCACGACAGGTTTCTGCAGCCGCCCCAGTTCACAGGCGAAGCCTGTGCCGCGGTGCCACGGCCACGGCGGCACCAGCTGCAGCACTTTGGCTTAAAGTCGGTTTAGGGGGTATAGGTTTAGAGGGTTCAGGGCTGATAGGGTTTTAGGGTTCAGGCGTTTAGAGGTTTCGGGCTGGGGGTTCAGGTTGGACTAGACTTCCCAGCCCGCAATGCCTCCGACGAAACGGAAGCCAGCAAAAGCAAAATGGACCCTACAGCGCCAGCTCTATAAAGCTCTGCCTCCTGCAATCTCTCATAGGAGGCCAAGAGGGGTTTTAGACTCTTGGGGTTTCGTAGGGATTAGGGTTCCCATAATGGGGTTCATATTAAGGAATCCCTACCCCAAGAATCTTAAACTCCCCTTTTGGCCTCCCATCAATCTCAGCCTTGCAAGGCCAGCACGAGAAAACCCCTTAAAGTCTAAAGCCCAATCAGCGCTGCTAA